GCTCGGCAGCCCCCCCTCCCTCCCCCCCGCCCCGCTGCCTGCAGGCAGAAGGGACGGGCAGGACAGGGCCACAGCCCCCTTCTTGCCACTTTCCCAGGGGAGCGCGGTTCCCCCGAGGCGACAAAGCCTATTTCACAATCTTCTTTTGCATCCTGTCTCCAGTCTCTGGCACAGGAATTACCTTCATCTTTTAGGTATTTTGCCCCATAATGAGTGCAGGCGGTTACTGAGGCTCGTAACACATGAACTTGCATTGCTGAAAACAACTTGACATTTGCAGAGATGCAAAAACCTGAAGTTTGACATTAAGCAACATAACCTTAGGGACTAGGCCATGTACATAAATTATTTCCTTGCGTTACTGATATTTATATCACATCCAGGAACGCTGTTCATGCCCCATACTGAAATACTTCACTGATGTAAAGATCACACTCTATCTAAAATATCTTTCCTTCCTGCATTTCAAAAGCTTGAACTTTGCTCTCAAAATGACCATTCAATTCACAGAGAACCAGTCAATTTTCTGCTTCACATGAATACTTTAAAAAGCTTGGTTGTTAAATTTAGCCGTCTGCTACATTAGAAATTCAGAAACCTCTCAAAGGAAAACCATGTCAAGGCTGCCAGGCTCGAAATTTGACCTGCCTTTTTTCCCCCTTCACTTTTTAAAATTGATCAAATGTTTGTGTGTGTGACTCTTTTTGGCAGGAAAACCTCAGTTGTTTTTATCTTTGAATGTTTTGTAAATAATCTCTTCTAGCAGTTGTGCTTTCACCAGCAAATACATCTGGTGGTTCACATTTCCTGGCTCAAGCCTGGCAGATGAATCACTTTCCTCTCCAAGGGTTAATTTACACTGGCTGGAAAACTTCCCCACTTACTATGAGCAACCACACCTTTTCCACCAGTACTATTTTCATTAAAAGTAAGTGATCTGCAATAAAAAGTAATGAAAATCCGCCTTGTTTTAATCTCTTGAGAAGGTGGATCTGGAGAGGAAGGTGCTGTAGACCTCAGTGAGTCAGGCTATGCTGATGGTCAATGCAAATAGAGCAGCTCAGCTCTAACCGCTGATTTAAAAGGCATTTAATATGTGCCCAAGCCATGAGATAGACAATGAAAGGTTGTGACAGCGAGAGGTTAATGGGTGCAGAAGAGGCTCGTCCTGGACTTGACGTGGGGGACAGTTGTATTTGCAGAAGATGACAGTGATAATTTGCTTCCTCTGTACAATTCACTCTAGAAATTTGGAACAGGGCAACAGTGGAAAAATAGGGCTTTTACACATGGCACTTTCCATGAATGGTTTAAAGAAATGAAATACATGTATACAAAATCCTGCTAAATGCTGGTTGAGTTGTGCAAAAGTCAGATATACGTGATTCCACTGCAGACCATAGGAATCTCATCCCAGTGGTTGAGGAATGAGGCTCCTGCAGTGTGTGCGGCCCCTGGTTTGCACCCCATTACTTGTAACCTGCTAACTTGCACAGTTATGTTTTATTTAAACCCTGTAAGTGAGAGGAGAAGGCCTTTCACTTTGGTATCTTAACTGGCCATGCTCCAAGGGGTATGTGATAGGTTTGATTTATGGTGTGTGTGCCAGAGGCACAGATTTTCAGCCCGTGGCCCTTCTCCCCCATCGTGGGGAGTTGGTCTGCTGCCTGGTGGGACCATGCTCCATCCTCATTGGTGATCAAATCTTCCTTCCACTGACCTTTATAGCACAAGAGAGTGGAAAAGGTCCTAAAATCAAGGAACCCAAAAGTGTTACCAAGAGCCAAAGTCCTGATGGTAAATGTCAAAGTCTTCTCACACATTGAGCCTGTTTTCTCAGGTGCATGATGACCAAAATGGATGGGGCTTTGCATACGATGAAATTTCCTTGTTGTCTCTAAACAAATACTTCCAAACACCCAATTAGGACAACCATACTGTATTTCCAGGCAAGTGGACATTCACTTTGTCCATCATATAAACTTTCTTACCAGAGAGTGTTCCAGATAAACCTTCAAACCCCGTACTCTTTAGGGGGTATATAGACAGAAGGTGCCTCTGCATTGGAAATCATGGGAAAGCCCTGCCCTGCAGGGTTGAGAAGGAAGAGTGCTGTTTTTCACAGTGTTCGTGAGCACCTTGTCATCACACAGCCAGTATGGACTTTTCAAGAGAGATTGATTTATTTCCAGTTAGATTTGTAATTTGACATCAGTGAGTTTCAGAGAACAGAAGTGTCATTGCTTTGGTTTTTTGACTACAGAAATGCTGTAATTTATGTGGTAGAAATACTTACAAGAGGTATATCCCACAACAGAGGCCTCGGTGAAAAGTCCTGTTACTGAAAAACCACTGTGTTGCTTGTTAGCACACTGTGGTTTGGGGTTTTCTTACTGCTTTTTATTTGCATTTGAGACATGCACTAGTATAACCTGTCCCTGTTTTCAGAATAGCTTTTGTATTTACATACCATGTTCAACTCTTTTTTTTTTTTTTTTTTTTTTAGTCTTGATATTCTTTCTTTACAACATTTAAAGCTAAAAATTTCACAAACTGGTGACGCAAGCTAGTATCCATCCCATGGGTCACCTAAACTTACTGCAATAACTAAATAAGAATTCCCCAGTGTTATGTACTGGTTTTCAGTCGTGCTCTCTGTGTTCGTCCTTGCAGTTTTGTCTGCACAGTAATTTATGTCTGCTGGAGACAGGAGCTATGTGCTGAGGCAGCACTCTGAGAGGATGCTGTGAGCTGGTTTGGGCAGCCAGAACTCGGCACATCACCCCGCTCCGGAGCCCATTCGTACCCTGTGGTGCTGCCAGCGCCTCTGCGTTTTGGGTTACTGGGTTTTAAGGCCTGTATAGGCTGTGTTTTCAGATGGTTAATTCCAGTAAACGTTATTTTCGGACTGAGGGGTTTTTTTAGTGTTAGCAATAAATTAGTGCTCCCTTAGGGTCCTGGCTTCAGTGGAAATCTTACTAAATAAGAAAAGAGGTGTAAAATCTGATCTAATACTGTCATTGTGAGAGCGAAAAGTAGTATCTTCAGAACGACGTATGGGAAAAAGATCCTATATCCTCTTCTTATGAATTGCTTAGCTGGGGTATTTTTAAGTCTGCTGGTAATTGAACAGCATGAGCATCTCCGTTTGCACTTACAGTGTACTTTCAGTCAACCTGTGCTCTTTTCCAGGTGGTGCTTGGCAGTTTGCATTTAATGTGAAATTCTACCCTCCAGACCCTGCCCAGCTATCTGAAGATATTACCAGGTGTTTAAAACATCAAATACCTTTCTAGAAGGGGCTTAAAAGCTGTTCTTGGTAGCACTTACACTCTAATTATCCAAGAAAAGGAATGTTTTGTATTCCTGTTGGCTTCCTTTCTCTTATGAGCTTACGGAATATATGTGATGCTTTGGCAGAAGAGACGCTGTGAACAGTGGCTGTCCTCTGAGCTAAGAAAACTTTTCCTTTTCTGTAGTGTAACCTTAAACCCAAGCTTTTCCAATATACGTATTCCCAAGAGTTGATTTGACTTTTCACAAAGATGCCTGATGCCCAGTTTTGCCAGTGGTAACAAGTTATTGTTGTCAGTAAAATCGTAACTGTGAAAGGAAAGAACTGGGATGAGAATAAGCATGCTTGTAAATTTTGTATTGCATTTGAAGAGGTCAGCAGTTGATGCGCATGGTACAGGGAATGTGGTGGTAAGGAATGGCAGCTCCCTGCTATCCAAGTCAGTTGGCTCAGCAACCTGCGCCTCTGCTCTCTGGTTTTGTATACAGATGGCAAGCACAACCAAAAAAAAAACCCCAACCCTCACCTGCTTCCCTCCTTGGTATAAGGCAGGAAGCCTTTGGAGCCATGATGAGTTTTATGCCATCAGCAAGCCATTCCCGAGCCTGTTCTAACATTTTGCAACCTGTGGATATTTTTAACCTTCGCTGCTTTGTGGATTACTTGTTGCTTTTACGGTAACATGGAGCCTTTGGCTTAGATCAGACATCCCCTGTGCTAGGCACTGTGCAGAAAAGCAGTGCGCCAAGAGTTCGCACTTAAAGAGAGGTCTTCCAAAAGAAAGGATTGCTTTTTTCCTTGTCACCCGCAGATCTCCCCTGGGAACTCTGTGCCTTCACCACAAAGCCAATGCTCTTTGCTTTTTTTCTGATTTCTTCTATCTGGTGGTGCCTTGCGCTGCTTGTCAGTGTGTTTTTAACAGCATTTACTGTTTACATGTATTTTTGAGAAAGCTTGAGAGTTTGCTAAAGAGACAACTTAAGTTTTTTGAATGTCTTGGAGTTAAGCTACCCATTAGTGAGCAGTATTTAGGGGTTTTTTTTCCTCCTTAAAGAAAAAAATTATCAGCTAGCTATGTATCTTAGTGATTTATGATAGAAACCTGGTATGTTTAATGGGTAATTCTCCAGCCAGGTCACTAAACAAAGTAATAACCTATTTTATTAAGAAATCTCTGTGCTGCTTTATAAAGATAAATTAGACATTGCTACCTATACGTTAGGCAAGGGTGGTTGTTTTTAAAATTATTATTATGCTTGTTAACTCCTGAAAAACCTTGGGCTTTGGAATTTTCTACTAATTAGTAAATGAACCGAGGCCTCTTGCCGGTCCTTGGCGGCACTCCTTTGGGGGCAGCGGTGGAGGAGCACTTCCTGAGCCGGCTCGGTGCTCCCTTGCAGGTACTACCTCTGCTTGCAGCTGAGAGATGACATCGTGTCGGGTCGGCTGCCCTGCTCGTTCGTCACCCTGGCCCTGCTGGGCTCCTACACCGTGCAGTCAGAGCTCGGCGACTACGACCCCGACGAGTACGGCAGCGACTACGTCAGCGAATTTCGCTTTGCGCCAAATCACACTAAAGAGCTGGAGGATAAAGTGATCGAGCTGCACAAGAGCCACAGGTGGGCAGAGGGCATCAAGTGTGGGCTGTAGCCTGCCTTCAGATACCGTCTTGGTGCATCAGGAAATGTTATCAAATCAGCTGCAGTATACTTAATAAGAATATTTTTTGGACAAACTCCTCTCCGTGTCTTTGGTTAGAGAAGAGCTTTGCAGCATGAAAGGTAACAGGGTCTGCACCAGAGCTTTGGCTCTGGTGGGCACCCAGCTACCTAAGGGGCACAGCTGTAGTTCTGACAGGCTGAAAATGTTTTGCAGCTGCTGGCTTTTATTCGGATTCTGTTTCCTTAATATTGATGCTAGAATTGGTTGCTTTTCCTCAGGGGAATGACACCTGCAGAGGCTGAGATGCATTTCCTGGAGAATGCCAAAAAACTGTCCATGTATGGAGTAGATCTCCATCATGCTAAGGTATGGACTCTTTAATTCTTTCATCAGTCATCTTTCTCCGGTGGCATAGTAGTTGAAGCTGCATGGACTCCCTGATTTATTTTTTTTTTGTTTTGAGATGGGCATTTTGTGGGATAAATCATGTGTCAACATGAGGAAAGATGACCTACGGCATAGAATCATAGAATCATAAAATCATTTTGGTTGGAAAAGACCTTGAAGATCATCAAGTCCAACCGTTAACCTAGCACTGACAAGTCCACCACTGAACCATGTCCCTAAGCACCACATCTACACATCCTTTAAATACCTCCAGGCATGGTGACTCAACCACTTCCCTGGGCAGCCTGTTATAGGCATAAATATATCTTGTAACTGTAACATAACTTAGCCTATAGATTGAAAGATGTTGCACATCAGCCTTTCACGTTGATTAAACAACCAAATCCTTTGGGAGAATATTGAATGGATGGAGTAATGAGGAAGGATATTAGAAGCTGTCCAGAGAGTGATCAATTGTCATTTCATTCAGCTACATTTTCCAATTTAATAAGGCCAACTATGGTATCTTAACTAGGTAAGCAGATCATTTCTAACACTGCAGAGAACTTTCAAGCAATTCTTTAGCCGTGCTGAAAACCTAATCAGATTGATAGTTATGGGGAGACAGCAGCTTGTCTCTCTTCTGAAGTGTGGTCGTTGTAGTTGACTGGAAGGGCAATAATTCTGCTGAAAACATTCTCCCATGATGAAGTAGTTTCTCTAATCATCGGCAGAGTAAGTTATGAATAAAACATGGTCATTCTTATCGTGGTTTGGGAGAGCCACCTACCAGCCTTGTGTTGGTTGTCTGGTTTTTGGTTTTTGATGGGTTTTTGTCCAAATAAATAATTACTTTTTTTTTTTTCCCATCGCTCTTCAAAGTAAGGCTAATGGATTTTAACATCTTTGAGGTTAGCAAGCATCCGTGGCAAATGAGTGCTGAACAAAGAATCCTGAGCTGTGGAGAGCGCTGCATTTTCTGTAAAGGTCAAATTATTGTGAGCCTGTTTTTATGCTGCAGCAGATCCTTTCAAGAACCAAGATAAATTTGCAGCTTGGATCTTGAAAGGGCCTGCAACCGTGTACCTGGGGCATTTCATAGGAGCTGTGCATGTGTGTTACAGAATTCAAGGCAATCTTTTGTGTTCTGTTAATTGCCTTCCCTGAAAATGAAAAATCTGGGTATGGCTCAGTGGGCAGCACTCTACCAGGAGGCATGCCGCTGCCTTCCCTGTGTCTTGCAGATAGGCACAAAATCTTGAGGCTCATTTGGAGCAAAGATAGAAATGAATTGGCGAATGTCACTCAGTAGCTTTTTTCCAACATCCTTTGTCCAACGCAAAGAAATCTTCAAGACAGCAACAAGGTGAGTTCCTGTTCTAAATACGTTACAGGCTTTGTTACTGAAAATTTAACATTGCATAGGGTTAAGGCCTAAGTATTTTTTTCTGAATATTAGAGAAAAGCTGTGAAATTTAAAATAGGGTATCCTGAGTGTGTTGGGTCTGGCTGAGATGGAGTTAATTCTCCCCACAGCAGCCCTCATGGTGCTGTGTATTGGTAGCTAGCAAGGTGTTGGTAACACACCAGCGTTTTGGCTACTACTGAGCAGTGCCAGCACACATCAAGGCTTTCCAACGTTTCTTTTTCCCCAGCAGCAGGCTGGGGGGGGGGAAGATCTTGGGAGGGGACACAGCCAGGATAGCTAACCCAAACTGACCAAAGGGATATTCCATACCATATGATGTCATGCTCAGCAGTAAGAAACTGAGAATAGGGGGAGGAACAGGGCGGGGGCATTCGTTGGTTTTTTTTTTTACAATGTTTGTCTTCCGGAGTAAGGGGCACACTTACTGAAGCCCTGCTTCCCAGGAAGGGGCTGGACATCGCCTGCTGATGGGAAGTAGAGAATAATCTTTGCTTTTTGCTTTGCTTCCGCGCGCGGCTTTTTGCTTTAGCTACATTAAACTGCCTTTATCTCGACCCACGAGTTTGCGGTTGTTTTTCTCCATCTTCCTTTCTCCCCTCCCTGCCTTGCTGAGGAGGCGAGTGATAGAGCGGCTCTGGTGGGCACCTGGCCCCCAGACAGGGTCAACCCATCACACCTGAGATAACCATTTTATTTTTTTTCTAAACAATATTAGTATCCAGTTTTACTCTTGTTTTTCATACAGAAAGACTCAGAGCAAGAGAAGTTGGTAGACAAGCCAATCTCTCTCTAAAGTGATGTTCTTAATTGAAAAAGCTGCAGTGCTAACCAAATTGGGCCTGTCTGTGTGTTAAGAAACCCAACAGAAATCTTGGAAACTGAGCTGAAGGTGGGAAAAGCAGACTCTGCTTGAGAAGTAATTTAGCTTTAATTAGGTGTGCCAGTGAGATCTGATGGTATCAGGCTCGGGGACAAGTGTCACGCCATGGCAGGTGTCTGTATGTAAATGTCAATTCATTAAGGCTGTGCCAGTATCTTAGGTATTCAACAGATGCTGGATTCGCCAGCTGCTGTTAAAAACTAGTTCTCAATTATCCAACACAAGGCTACGATAAAAAATGAGTTCAAATAGACAGATTTGTCCTCTGGCCTGTCACCGCTCTGATAAAGCCCCCATTCGTATGCAGGGCTGCGGGGGTGTGCAGCTCAGCATCTCCTGCCTCGGATATTACAGCTAACAGTTTTCTGTTCCGTGCAACTACATCGCTCCTGAAAAAAATCAAATTCTTTAATTCAGGTTTCGTTTTACCCCAGTAGTGTCACATTGCAAAGCAGTCTCTGACACAAACGAGTAACAGAAGCTGTGAATGGACTTAGATCTGCTGCAAAGGTGGGCACGAGGGAAGAAGGCATTTCTCAACAGGTTTTTGAGAAAATATATCAAAAGAAGGAGCCCCTTGCACCTACAGCTATGTGCCATATGTGAGCACGCGTGCGTGTCAGGCATTTGCCAGGCAGCGGCATTACTGGCAATGAGACTTTCTTTTTTAGAATGTATTCACTGTATTTAGACATTAGTCTGCTTAGGAGGAAACTGTGAAATTGAAGTCCACTGAAAAAGTTAGATTTGTCTCTTCTGTAGTACCTCACAATGATATCACACAAGAGCTTTACTTAGAAAAAATGTAGCTTTAAGGAGTAATACCATCATTGTTGGAACACACACTCTCTGTTGGTGTGGTTTCTAACACTGAAGTGACTTTGTGGCACTAATTCTGTGTTGTGTCTCTGATTTTAAAACATTTTTTTTTTCTTTTTACTTCAAGCTGTGCCGTAGTCTTTTTATCATGACTGACTGTGCCTGCCTTTGTGTTCATCTTAAAATGTAATCAGATTTTCACTGTGTGCCTAAAAGATAGCTTGTTGGGAAAATGAGAGAAAAATGATTAATTCATTTCATGGTTATCATAGGGTGACAACTTCATAGCATCTGTTGTCAGACTTTTGTACCTTTAAGTTATTTTAAAATAATTACCACAGAACTCTGTGCTTTAAGGTAGATATTTCTTGTCTCCGGCAGTATTAGTACTTAGCTAAATGAAAAAAACCAGAATTATGCAATCTAGTGGTGGTAGCAAACAGTGAAGATTGGTTTTAGACTATTTGAAGGCTTCTAAAGGAAAGAGAAGTGTATACTTCCTACTTAAAAAATACGTATTTATGGGTATATTCTTAAAAGATTGTGGCCAAATCTTTGATACTACTAATGTGCCTGACCTACAGCTTCCCTGTCAAAACCGGGTTATAGCATAGCTACAGTCATACACTTTTAAAAGCATCTTTCTGGTCCAAATGCCCAACTTTCTGCCTGCTGGTCATTTCAAAGTGAAAATACCGAGCATAGGCACAACAGCATTAAACAAACTAAAGCCAAGATGAGCAAACTACAAAAGAAAAATCTATCTAAGGATTCACAAGGCTTAGTCATGGAGATGAGTGATGCCAAGAGAAGTAAATTCGTATGCTGTCCTACTTACTTTCGATCTGGAATTTATGCTAGTAATACTTTTTTTTTATTATGCTAATAAAATTTTGCTATATGGTTAATATTCTTTTAATAATGTCTAAAATTTCCCTGCTCCTTTTGGAGTTTTTCTAAAATCTAAGGAAACATTAACAATACTCGGTTTCTCTCACCCTGCCCAACCTTACTATTACTTGCATGAATGCAGTCAATGAGTAGGGTAGCTCTCAGAAATCAGGTCACTACAGCTGATGCATTAAAAAGACATAGCTCAGATAGAAACATAGTGTACAAGAACCTGTAGTACTGTAGGATCTAAGGAGAGAAATATTCAACAAAGTGCATTGCTTGCTTTTGCAGGATTCTGAAGGAGTGGAAATCATGCTAGGAGTTTGTGCAAGTGGTCTCTTAATATATCGAGACAGACTCAGAATAAATAGATTTGCCTGGCCAAAGGTTCTGAAAATTTCCTACAAGAGGAACAACTTCTACATCAAAATCCGGCCAGGGGAGGTAAGGGTATCCTGACACTCCTTAGTGAGTGAACCTTTTCAAAAAACCCGTGTTCTCATTGATTTGTTGATTTGTCATGTCTTACAAGCCTTTAACATTCCTCTCCATTTATATCTTTTAACTTGTGCTGATTTTCTTAGGAAAGATTAGGTAAATACTTTATTTAAAATACAGGTAAAATCTTCTTTTGGTGTTTTTCTGTTTACATCCATGAACTAACGTAAAGAACAAATACGGACGGCCATCTGCATGTGAAAAGCTCATCCATATTGTGAATACTTTGGGAATTTAAGTAACATATTGCTTATTCATGGAGTGGTCGTCATCCACCGTCACGTTCTATACTAAATTAGTGTCTATTCCTCTTACCCACTAAGAGATGTAGACAGGCCATACCCAATTTTATAAGCATATCCGACTAGTACATTTGGAGTTGGTGGCTACATGCATTAGCCCTCCCAGGCCCAGAGGAGCTCATCTTCTGACTCTGGAGAAGGTGATGTGAAATCTCATACAGTGAGTGCCCTCTCGTGGCTCATAGCAAACACCAGCCTCATGGGTTGAGCGTGCAACTCGCCCAGAAATAAGATGACAAATCTTAGGAAAAAGCCCAGGAGGAGTTCGCTAGCATCAGAGCCAAAGGAGCGTCTCTATTTTAAGTGCTGGTACAATAATTGGTCTGTGATAGATGAAAAACCCATATGCGTTTCAGAAGGTGGAGCTGCCTAGCAGGACAGAAATCACCTGGATGAGGACTGGCATTTCTCCCTTAACACAGTATGGCAGTTGGGAGTCCCAAGCCAATGTCGCCAGTACTGACTTCATCAGTGACCTGGGAAGTCTGCTAGGGCCCCCCACCGGCTCCAGGTCCTGAGCCTTTTTTAGAGTCCTAAACCAAAATCCACAAACCTACATCTCCTGCCTCTCAGCAGACAGTTTTAGTAACTAAATTCGCAGTCTTCAGTTTGATGTAAAAAACAGAACAAAAGAAAAAAACCAACCCCAAACCCAAACAAATAGCCACTGATGTTCCCAATGCCTGCACTCAAGCTCTCCACCACTGAAGTCCTATTGAGCTCTGCTGGTTTTGATACGTAGCACCCTGTGACCAGGTCATAGTTCTTTATGCAAAATAATCAATGCAGTCTCTTTCCAAATCACATTCAACGATAATGTGATTCATCATCCCATATGTCGCTTCCATCATCTTTATTGTTTTGCTATTTCCTGCTTTGTTTCTCTCTGTCAGCTCCCCACAGGGATCTGGACTTCCTTACAAGTGCCCTTCTGCCTACCTTTCCCCGGTCACAGCAACACTATTGCACCTACTCAGCTATCTGCATGTAGCCATCAACATCTTACAGCGGTTGTAGCTGGCACAGCTTTTGCATCTGGAATATATAAATCTGCAGCACAACCTAGAAAAGGTCTCTTTATATCCCCAGATGAGTCTTTCAATTACCTGTCTTTTCCTCATCCTCCCCAGAGATAAATTAGCTAAAACCACTGTGATTTACTAACTCTAGTTCTTTCACTGTAAATCTTCTTAATCTAAGGCTGTGTGAGACCAGATCAGTCCCTGGGGACTATTGCTTCCCTCCAGGCTATTATCAGGCTTCCCACTGTTGTTTAAACTAGTGAAGTTAAAACAACAGGGTTAAAACACTTAAATGATGTTTTTCACAGAAGTCTCCCAAGTCTTAACTGATCTTCATTACTATAAGGCATAAAAGATCACTGTCACCATCAAAAACCTCTTGCTCATTATCTGGGTTCCCCCCCCAAAAATGATCCTCAGAGGTTTCCTTTGATTATCACTCACAGCTTCCTTCCCAGACAGTAGTCTGTAGAATATGCATATATGTGATAATATACATGAGTGTATACATTCACCCTTGCAATGAGATGATATAGATGGAGGAAATGAAGATGAACCTGTGTACACTGTCTAAAAATAGATGCATAGCATCAAATACATCCTTTTTCTTTTTTCCTGCCTAGTTTGAGCAGTTTGAAAGCACTATTGGGTTTAAGTTGCCAAATCATCGTGCTGCAAAGCGCTTATGGAAAGTGTGTGTTGAGCACCATACATTTTTCAGGTATGTGGATTTCTTTTCCTAAAGGTGTGCCATAAAATGCCACAGAAAAGAATGATTCTGTCAGCAGAGACAAAAGCCTTCAAATCAAATTGTCTTTTTGATCACGAGGTATCTCTGAACAGACAAAGAAAAGTTGTTCCTTCTTAAAAATGTAAAATGTTTCACCTAAATTATTTTTACTGTTCCAGATAGATACCAAATGTTTAAAATCACCATATGGTCCCAATTAATTGTTTTGCATTATCTGTGCCATGATATTATTAGCTGCTATAATTAAAGAGATGAAGGACTCTGCTGCACTTCTGCACATATGCTTGTATAGGGAGAACAACCTATATGGAAAGATACTGGGGGATATTGGTAAGAGTTTTAAAAAAAAAGGAGATTTTTATTTAATTACATATGCAAATGTAGACACTAGTCAGTGAATACTCAATCTGTAGCTGTAATTTTTATATTCCTAGTGAAATTTGCAGCTATGTTTTTGACATCTAAGAAGACCTGAGAAAAGTTTGGGATAGTGGAATAAATGCTGTAATTAGTTTGTACTGAGATAGTCAGCAAGGAGATACTTAGCAATGGGAACCCAAAAGGGTGAGATTTCCAATGGTGTGACAGGGCATCCAGCGCTTAAAAATCCCTCTCAAGATGTTTGGGAGAAGTGAAGAATTTCTCTCCTTTCTTGAAAAAATTGGTTCAGGCTGTCTGTATGTTCATATGAAATGCAGTCTTCATGGCAAAAGATCTAAAAAGAAATTGAGTGTGCATTTTTGGGGTGTTTTCTGATTTTTAATAGAATATCAATGTCTAAAGCGTAAACTCCATAGCAGGAGAATGGCTTCTTCAGGTAAACTCCCATAGCCAAAATACAAAAGGTGGGAAGGCTCTAACCTGAAAAATGTCTGCGACCCTGTGAATGAATACTGCCCTGCATTCACTGGAAATCTGTTCTGGCCCTGTCCTCAGCACAGCAGCACCATGTTAAATTGGAAGTATGAGATATATATCTGTATTTCAGCCCAGATCAGAGGCCCTGATACAAGGGGCACCTTAGTTTTAGTTTTGGTGATCAGAAAATCATAAGTCTGATTTTCAAGCAGGAAGGTACTGAGTGATTCTTGCCCGTTAGGAAGAGCAGAGCTCTTCAAATGCATGAGCGAAGTGGTTTTGTCATGCTGTACACAGGGCATCCTTTGATTCCCTTTTAGCCGCAGATCCGTGAGGCACAGGTTACGACGGAGAGTGATGCCCAACGGTCGTCTCCACTCATCTGCAGAAATAGTGGACCGATTCTTGGAGGAGGGGGAGTAACGGGTGCACTGCTTGGTGTGTTTTAGGCTCCTGCTGCCAGAAGCACCTCCAAAGAAGTTCCTCACGCTGGGCTCCAAGTTTCGCTACAGCGGCCGGACGCAGGCCCAGACGAGAAGAGCCAGCGCCCTCATAGACCGTCCCGCACCTTACTTTGAGCGGTCTTCTAGTAAACGTTACACTATGTCTCGCAGCTTAGATGGGGGTAAGGTCCTCTTAATTGACTTTGTCAAAAGTTGTCATCACAGTGGTCACTGCTTTAGATTAGGTACAAACCTCTCGTCATCTCATCTCCTTGAGCTTCGGCGGAGTGGTGGCTGTGAGTACCTGCACGTTCACTGCAGGGCTAGGGGAGGGTGCAGAGAAGTACTGTCCCAACTTACAATGTGGTTGCCTGGAGGAGGTCCTTGGGAGCCCACTCTTTGTGGAGCCCCTCTCCTTGGCCTCACACCTGCAAAGCACTTCCCCGCTTTGGGGAAGGACGGGGTGCCTGGACCTGCCTGCCCGAGCAAGTCAGGCTTCAGTGCTTTTTCAGGGTTTGCATGAGTAACTGTTTGGGTTTTGGTTTAACTTGGCTTTTTTCCTACATAGGTTTTTCATTTAAGTATATGTTACAATTCATAAACGAATTATTTCCCTTGATTGAGTCATAACAGTTGCTTCCGATTACCTCGCATCCTAGTCAGAGGAGCGCTAACAGGCTTTTTCCATACATTACTTTTGAAGGTGTGAGATGGAGAGTAACATACACAGGTTTATAGTATGTCCTTCCTCCTCCTCCTCTCTTTCTCCATGGTTCGTGGAGGTCACGGTTCTGCTGCTCTCTTAGGTTAAACCAGCGTGTGATTCAGAGTCTCAGCTACTTCATCAGCTGTTGCTGTTGTCAGCTATTGAGCAAAAAGAGGTTGTAGTTTATTTTTGTAGGAAAAAAGCCTGAGACTAAATTCAGAATTGTCACAGTTTAAAAAAAAAAAAACAGGTGAATTCTCCCGCAGAGTATCACAAACGAATTGCAGTGAGTATAGCTGATGGTGGGGAGGGGGAGAAGCTTTGATTTAAAAGTACTAGTGACAAGCCTTCTTTTCTTCCCCTAAAGGTGCTGCTTGTCACTAATTATTTTGGAATCTTCTAATTCTGGTGTGCTTCTTGCTTGTTACCAAGCAACTGGTGACCTGATTGCTGTGCATGTGTCTCAAAGCAGAAATTATCCCTCTGCGTTATTTTGTTTGTAGCATCTAAACAAGATGTCTCCCTCTACTCCCTTTGCTTTCTCTCACCTCCTAAGCTCATTCCCAAGAGACAAGATACCTGAAACACTTTTCCCCAGCATTTCTTAGACTCCGCGAGGTTTTTATGATGTTAATTTGCTTAAGCGCAAATGGGGAAAAGAGGTTTTTATTAATCAATGATTATGAGTTCCTCACTGATGTTGTTACTGTAACGCAAACATGGCTCTTAACATTCTGCATCGTGATTACGCTGTGATCCCGGCCCTGTCATTTGTTACAGATGCAAGTAACTTCATAAATTTGAATAGTCCTATTGACTTAGAAATTAGTTACACAATAGTCGAGAGCAGGGTCTGGGTATATATTAATGTTCTGATTATATTCTATCTGTAAATTTACTATTTATTTCAAAATCATTTATATATATTTAAGTTTGCTGAATTATCGAACGTTTACATCCTAAAATATTCTGGTTTGATCCCCTGAATTGAATGCCATCACTTCCCAGAATTTTTTAGGATAACGACCTCACTTAACTGGCAGACTTTAATACTCGATAATACAAAGATCCCATTTCTTGATTCTCAGATATTATGCCTGTGTTACATCAATATTGTCATTTCCTGCAATGGAGCACATTACTTACCGTGCATTTGATCTGCATTGTTATATTCTGCCAGATTTTTTAAAAAAAATCTCTTCCACCCCCATGGCTGATGTCATAGCTGGTTTTCCTTGTGTTTCCTGCCTGATAACTGTGGCAACGCGTTGATTTTTTTCTGATGTTTTACTGCAGTAGCACTTTTAATGGCTTGCTAACATTTAACAACTGTGTAATGCGCACATTAGCTACAGTAATGTGTGTATACACATCCACAATACATGTTTATGCATATAAAAGCTACAAGCTTTATTTCAAGTAAACAGTTTATTTAAATGTATGCACATGCTTCTGGTTTCCTGAAACGTGACATAGTTGTGTTTTCAGCAATATCTCAAATGTTTTACTAACCCAGCTTTTTAATTTTACGCAGCTTCTCAGCAAAAGCTATTTCAGACTTTCCCTCTTTAAATATTTGCTTTTAGCATCAGTGAATGAAAACCATGAAATGTACATGAAGGATTCTGTGTCTGCTGCAGAGGTTGGTACTGGCCAGTACGCCACAACAAAGGGCATCTCTCAGACCAACTTGATAACCACTGTGACTCCAGAGAAAAAGGCAGAAGAAGAGAAAGATGATGAAGAGGGGAAAAAGAAAAGAGCAGAGGAAGTCACCCCGGTCTCGGCAATACGCCATGACACCAAGGTAGAGTTTTGAGGATTTTGTATTAAACTGACCTGCCTGGAGAGCACTCGGAGAAATGCAGAATTGTTTAGGGGGGGAGGGCGGAGATACCTACTAGATACCTATACTAGAATATACGTGGTGGTATGTACATGTATATACGAGTCTCGAATCAGTATTTTTATAGTCCTTTTGCATTTCATACGATGTTGTATAAGTTAGTTCCTGCCTCAGACTGTTTTTTGAAATCCATTCAAGAGTCAGCACAGTGTTTTTACATAGCATTTAAGAGGTCTTTAGGAAATACCCAAAAGTAGCCTGGCAATGCACATCTTGCTCCTTTGGTTGTATTTTGACTTTAGTATGGGCATCATGGTTTTTATTTTTTGACAAGGCAACAAAATGGTTCTGGGTTCTTGTCTGTAGCTCTGTGCTTTAAACTATTGTATTTTTCTCATTTATTTCTCATAAGGCTCTGTTTCCTTGCACGTATTTCACTGAGCATTTTCCTCTATTATCTTTTGGGGATTAATACACTACTATAAGCTTTTTTCTTCCCTGGCTTACAAAAGCATTTACTTCCCTCATTTGAGGTTTTGCATTGAAGAAAACTGGTTTTAATGATGATTCTCTGCTCAGTTGTTAAATTTGATTCATCCCTCACCATCTCCAATCCCACCACCACCGCATATACGTACACGCGTGGCTGTGCATTATATCTACTGAGTTATTGAGATGATGTAAATCAAACGGGGACAGAGGAGATCTCAGAGATTGACAGTGAAGAGAAATAAGGTAGAATCAGAAAAGATGGGGTGTAAAATGTCCTCTGTTTCTTTTACATTGAGGAGAAGAAAACAGAATATGAAATATTGAATCTAGGATATCATTCAAAAAGCGTACTATGGAATGCACTTGCTAAACAAGTAAGATTTACCTTCTTCATTTATGACGAAAAACCTTGATGTATACCTTTACACCCACAAAACTGTCAGGCGTGCAGATGTTAGAACCTGAACTTCTAGCCTTATCATATAAGGCCACAATAACTAAAGGATCAAGTCCTCAACAAAGACTTGCAATTAAGGTACCAAAACCCAGAAACAAATTGAATTACTGAAACTTGCCGATGAGAAAAGATTTTCTTTTGAAAGTGTGCCCTGTAATCGTAGCATTAAAAAAAAATCTGTAAAATATAACTGGGATCTTCTTGAAACTCCGTTAGTTTCTGCATGGAGAAACATTGATGAAAATCAAATATGCAGAAAATATCCAATAGAAACTAATTCTGTTCCAAGTGTTTGCTAATTTAGGTCAATGGAGAGATCAGCTGCATTTTGAAGATCATCTGTTCCTTATATATGGCTAGAAATAGTCAAAGTTATTTTTAGGAGAGTATTTTGATGGCACTTAAACATGCACAAATGAATGATTTTTACCACCACCACCCCCCAATGAAGAGGTGGGTTCTGTTTAAACCATCCCATAAAGAGCTTCAGTTCTATAAGCCTATAGAGATCTCAGTCCTGCTTCCACTGGACCTGCTAACAGTTTTGTCATTCATCTTAAAGAGAATAGGGTCTGAAGAAACTCAGGACAAATTTGAAATCAAATTCCTGTTTAAGGGTATATAAATTTTATAGGTAGGTTTTCAACTTTTCCACTAAGACATTTTTCCTTTGGTTTATCCATAACTATTTAAGTACCAGAAGTTATTCTAAATATTAACACTGCAAAGATGGCACTAAGTGAATAGTCTGTATTAGCAAAGAATAAATTTACTTTGGCTTTTTTGCCTTGACAATATAAAGAGAAGTTCTGTGTATTTAGCTCACATAAAGTCTTGTGAGTCCATCAGCATTAAATTTTGACTTGAGCTTACTGCATTAAGCCCATAAAGATGACGTTTGTAAGTGGTTTGAAGTTAGGCTTAGGTTTGGTTGCTTAATTCAGGAATACAGATGGTCTGAACTGATAGATTGTTTTTTTAACTGTTCTGGTTAGAGAAGAGAGAGAAGCAAAATATTAAGAGGAGAGGGAGGAGCTCCTCTGTGTTAAATATTGGGCTTAAATCCCATTCCCACCATTACTATACCTGGTAAAGATTAGGCTTAGTAGCTGGCATTGATGCAACCTGTGTGTAAAACTTGGATCCTGCTTGTTACCTCAGATTTGACACCAGCTTGTACAGGCAAATCCTGTTTTGGCTTTGAAGTCATTTTGCTCTTGAGAGCTGGGAGTGGCAGTGGGGTTGAAATGCCTTTTGTAGCCCCTCGGGGAGATGCGGGGTGGATGGAGCAGCTCAGGCACTTAGGGTTTGGTCATGGAGCCAGCGTGCCACTTCAGCTAAGTGCGCATAGCTGACTTTGGCCAAAACGTCTCCGATCCATCGGCATGGTGGCAGGTCTGTTGTACCGCAGTATTTTGGTGCCAATGGTGGTTGTAGTCCTAAAGAGCGGTCGTGGCTGCCCACAGGGAGCGTGTTAGGTGATGGCCACCCCTCCTGCTCAATCACCTCCCTCCTCCTACCAACTTTTTGTCCATGAATGACCTTAAAGACTGGTTGAGTGCCCTACAAGCGGTATATCAAAGCAAATCCTGCTTGTTGGTAGCCAATATTCTTTGCATTGTGGTAAAATTTGTAGCAAAAGCTTGGGTACATTTTTATCTCTTCGCTATGGGTAAAGAGTCACTTTTTGGCTATGAGGAGATGTGGCTGTGTGGGGCACGGACCTCTCTCTGGTCAGCCTGCCTTTCAGATCCCCAGCGAGAGAGCACAGGGTCTGCCTGGCCAAAACCCTCCATTCCCTTCTTTCAACGTGCTGCCGGGAGGGGACCAGCCCCCGGCGCTGTCTGCTCCAGCTCGTGGTGGGCAGAAACGAGGGCAGGGCAGTGGGGACGCCCGGCGGAGGCCAGCCTGGGTGGTGATGGGAGCCATGCTGAGGAGCTGGCTGCTGGGCTAGGTATCGAGCTAGTACAGTTTTTTCACATCAGTAACAGCTGACATATGGATTTATGCCCCACCCCCAAACCAGAATGTGTTTTATTTAGGTTTAGGACCCAGATTTTGTTTTTTTTAAATATTGGGAATTTGGGAACTTACTTAGAGTTTTAAAATCCTTAGGGTTTTAATTATTACAGCTGAGGTAGTGCAAGGCATAGATGGGAAGCGTCTGGCCCCCTCTGTG